GCCCTGGGAATACTGGGGGGATTTGGGGTCCCAGAAATGCGGTAGAGAAGGGTGCTGGTGGGATTTGGGGTCCAAGGAATGGGGCAGAGCAGAGCTCTGAGGGTGCTGGTGGGATTTGGGGTGCCAGGAATGGGGCAGAGCAGAGCCCTGAGGGTGCTGGTGGGATTTGGGGTGCCAGGAATGGGGCAGAGCAGAGCCCTGAGGGTGCTGGTGGGATCTGGGGTCCAAGGAACGGGGGCAGAGCAGAGCCCTGAGGGTGCTGGTGGGATTTGGGGTCCGAGGAATGGGGCAGAGCAGAGCCCTGAGGGTGCTGGCGGGATTTGGAGTCCCACAAAATGGGGCACAGCACAGTCCCGGGGTCCCAGGACCGATTTGGCCTCCCAGAAACTGGGGTGCAGGACAGCCCCGGGGGTACCGAGGGGATGTGGGGAGCTGAGCTCTGCCCCAGCCGCTCCACGGAGGGGACACGGCCGTCCTGACTTCACCCCGTCTCCTCCCCCGCAGCACCCCCGGGCTCCCTCCGTCCCTCCCCAGCTGTGCCCCGATCCCCGGCAGCGTCTGGCGGCCTTGGGGGCGCGTCCCCCCCGCGTCCCCCGGCGCGGGGACCCCGCTCCGCGCGTCCCCCGGCCCCGCGCCGGCTGCGCCGAGCCCGGGGGAGCCGCCGCCGCTCGGCCCCGCAAGCTGCGCCCGGCTCGGGCAGCGGGCGGGGGGCTCTCCCGGGGCCCCCGCAGCTGCAGCCGGGCCGGGGGGGCCCTGCGGGACCGCTCCGAGCGAGAAGCGGGCCGGGAACGGGCGGGGGGCGGGGGGGACCTCGTGTGTCCCCAGAAAAAGGGATTTAGGGACAGGGATGCGCCGGGAGGGGATGGAGCTGCCTGGGAGGGACCCACCTGGGCGGGATTTACCTGGGAGGGGGCTCAACCTGCCCCGCGCCGGGGGAGGGGAGGGGGAGCGGGCGACATCAACGCGTCACCCAGCCGCGAGTGCACGGAGGGACACAAATAGAGGGGTGGGACACAAATAGAGG